GATTTTCTGGTACTCTCTCTTCAGGAATTTCTCCGTCAGTATAACTTGTGAAGCGATATCATCCCCTTAACAAACTCCGATCACAAAACGGCTCCTCTCCAACATTCCAAACAGCCTTCTTGCTGCGGCGAGGCTCGTTTATTGCTGTATAAGTGGTGTTGCTGCAACAGTTACCGCAATCTTGTGTCTGAGTCTGATAAACAGAAGTACTTAAGAATAAAAGAATGAGCGAAACAGTTTCTGACCACATCATTTTGTATAGCTGAAGCTTCTATAGTACAGACGCGTTCGTCGCGTTCTCTTTAGTGAAGCACTGTAAACTATTGTTAAATAGACATGACGACATAAATTTGTGGTAACAACGCCATGATTGGTTAGAGTTCATTTCCGCCAGCGCTTAAACAAGTTCAAGATCTCCACGATTCAGGTTTCGACTGGCCCATGTAAAACAAAGTAAAAATGCAAATTCGTATAGAAAAGCTGCACCGGCGGTAAACCCAGCGGGCCTAAAAATATAGATATATGATGTTTTTCGTTCCTGAACGTTGCACGAGTGCTCTAAAGTATAAGTGATAAAAGGCTTTCGTTCTTTAGTGATGTCAAAACAAACCTTTCCTTGGTATCTAAGCTCTTACTTCCATGCTTGAGTAGTTTAACTTCCGCGCGGGATTAATTCTTAAGTTAGACTCAATTGCTCATTGCTGCTGGGTTCTAACAATAGTTAAACTACTTAAAGCCCTTTACTAATAACTAACAGTGCGAGTAAGTGACAAGGTGAATTTTTTCGATGACCCGCCCCTACAAGTTAACCAACAAAGCCTTATTCCAAGCGGAAAATATCACGCGTTTATCTAAACCGATGAGAATCGTACCATTCACACTTATCTTTATGCCTAATATTATTTAAAAACAGTAATAGGCAATGTGACGGGCCTAAGACATTTTAACACCAGCAGGCAAATGAACAAGGACAAAGAAAATTCGACCAAAAATTGTAATTGTCCTTATGTTTAAAGGAACACACGTGAAATTTGATATGCAGAAAAAGCGGGTACTGGCCAGCGGTATAAGGAATCGCGCAATTCCAGAATTTAATCAGGAGGAGTACATACCTTTCCCCCGTTGAAACCCTTAAAGC